AACTCGGCGGAGTCAGGGTCCCACAATTCTGTTGATGACAATGGTGATGATAGTTGTGATGTTGTACCTAACTGGTTGGATACTTGGTCAGTTGATCAGTTGAGAACTTGGCAACAAGAAGAACCTGCAATTAGGCAATTTATTAGGTTAAAAGAAAGTTCCATTGTTAAACCCCCTAGGCATGTTGTTTTGGATGCTTCTCCTGACTTGAAAACTTATTGGGGATTATGGGAATCTCTAGAAGTCAAAGAAAACATGTTGTATTACAGGTGGAAGTCATTAGATGATAAGGAGTCTTTGTTGTTGATTGCTCCTAGACACATTAGATCTCAGATATTTCATGAGCTGCATGAGAATAAAACTGCTGGTCACTTAGGTAGGGAACGTACCATTAAATCCATAAAGCGTAGGGTATATTGGCCTGGTATGTCTTCAGACATTAAACGTTGGTGTAGAGAGTGTGATGTTTGTGCCCGAGCAAAAGCTGGTCCAGGTCTTGGGAGGTCATCTCTTCATCAATCAGTCATAGGTGCTCCTTTAGATAGGTTAGGAGTTGATATTTTAGGTCCTTTACCCAGAACAAGTAATGGTAATGAATACATCATAGTTCTCTGTGATTATTTTTCTAAGTGGGCTGAAGCTTATCCAGTACCTAATCACACAGCTTTGACAGTAGCAGATAAGATAGTTAATGAATTCATCTGTAGATTTGGTGTCCCTAAACAGATTCACTCAGACCAAGGTCGCGAGTTCGAGTCGGAATTATTTTCTGTCTTATGTGAAAAGTTAGGCATTGAAAAGACACGTACTACTCCATATAGGCCACAGTCAGATGGTTTAGTTGAGAGGATGAATAGGACACTTTTGCAAATGTTGTCAGCTTATGCAAATAAAAATAGGGATAATTGGGATGACAATATACCCTTTGTTCTTATGGCATATAGGTCAACCATTCAAGAAAGTTCAGGTTGCTCACCAAATTTAGTCATGTTTGGCCATGAAATTATGAGCCCAGTTGATCTTATGTTAGGGAATCCTCCTTCTTCACCTATCCCCATTTGCCCTGTAGAATATGTAGAGTGGTTAAGAATTGTTTTATCTGATTCTTACAATTTTGTGTCAGAAAATCTTAGACAGGCAGCATCAAAACAGAAAAAGTACTATGATAGGGGATTAAAACCTAGAGAGTTTACAGAAAATGACTTTGTCTGGAGGTGGTATCCACCCTCAGCTGGTGTTAAGTTAGGGTTAGGATGGACAGGGCCATATAAAGTTATCAAGAAGATCACAGATGTAACTTATCAAATTCAAAAAGACCCTAAGAGCCCTCTCATTGTGGTACATGTAGATCAGTTAAAACCCTATGAAGGCATTTTACCTCCTAGAAACTGGACACCAGTAGTTACTTCCCTTGACGAGTCATTAGAACCCCCTGTAGATCATACTCCTGTAGATTTTAATGATCAAGAGGAAGTTGAGGAGACTGTTCCTCCTGTTTTTAATTTACCTAGTCCTGAACCCCTTAGACAGTCAAGGTGGGGTAGAACAATCAAACCCCCTGTTATCTACTCTCCTTGAGACCAGGCATGCATCTAGGCATTTTATTTTTATTTTTTTTAAATGCCTATGTAAATAGTTATTTTTATTTTTGAATTCTATATATAACTTGATATATAAAAGGTTTGAGTTGACCTTTTGTAGTGATGACAAATGATATTTAATTTTTGAAATATCTCAGTCTAGTTTTAAGAGTAGATCTTAATTACTTTATTAATGAGTTAGTTTTTGGTAGTCATTTATTTTCTTTTGAGAATAACATTCAAGTTAGCACTGATTTTGACTTTAGTGGATACAAGGTCAATGATAGTTGTTTTATTTATTTTATAAGACACAGTAGTTGGCAATGATTTATAGTTATCTAGAAGTCAAAACAGTATATTTCAGTTCTTTCGGCTTATTCAGTTATAGTAATAATAGATATGAATCATTGAGAGCTTGGTATTCCTAGTTTAATACTGACCGTAGATGATCTTTAAATTATCTCCCTTGTACTGTGCTGAAATCAACACTTAAGTTTTTCTTATAGTTTATCTATGGGAGGTGATGCATGGTCATCCCTTGTTTAGGTTATGTTATAAGTATGTGCACTACTTGATAACATTTTGGTTTAAATTCAGTGGATTCTGAATTTGGTAGATAGCTATATTGATTAACTTTCCATATATTCAGAAATTATTTAAAGTCTTAGAATTTAAGATTTTTATTTTTAAAAGTTATTTTTCATAGAAATAAATTGACATCAAAACTTGCATTGATGGTGATTGATTTGCTTTAATATTTTTCTAATCCTTGTTTTACAATGTTTTCATTTTTCTCAGATGTCAGAAGTTCTTGATTTAAATGTCCCGGATGAGGAGATGGAGGCCCTCTGTGGGGAGGATATGATTCAAAAGGAGTGGCCGTCCGAGGGAGACACGTGCCAAATACAGAACTGTCCTTTGACGAATCATACCTTCCACAAGATTGGATCGTACAGGGCACATTTCATCAAATATCATAAGGCTCGAGTTCCAGTGTACTACTGTTACTCTTCATCATGTTCCTTCTCCTCATTTAAGATGAACATGCTTCGGCGTCACATGCGAGCCAAGCACTCAAGTTTACAAGGATGTTGGAATTCGTCCATTATCGATAACCCTAGATTTGTAAACCCCGGCAGAATTGGGATGCCACTTCCCACTATTCACCGGGAGGCACGTGACGTAGCGGCAAGGGCTCGGCAGTGTGCGGTGAAGCCACTCTTTAACCTCCAAGAATGGAATGCTCGGGACCAGAAACCACATTTCTTCTGACATTTCTTTAATTTATTCTGAAACGAAAATTTATTGTGTAAATTTTGTTTTTTTAAGGGGGGAGGAATGTAGTGGTTTAGATTTTTATTTCATAGCCATCGTTTCGTAATTCTTATCTTACAAGTATTTGCTGGTATTTCAGTCTGATAATTCTATTTACCATTTGTTTTCAGTTGTTACTTACGTAAAAGTCCTTTATTATTTGTCTTTTATAAGTTAGGACATGAGTTGACATTCCACATGTTTTACTTTTTAAACAGGAAGTGTCATCCATGTTGGCAGTCTTTCCGTAGTACTTTTGATACCTGCGTTCTGATTGGTTAATTTAGCTTTAGGATCTTTGATAGTCATTGGCTTTTATTTTGGGCCTTGTCAGGGTATTTAAACCCGTGTTCGTGTAGTTTTCTTCACTTGGGTTGGGGAACACAGCCTCATGGTTAGTTCCTCTTTTCTGTGCTAAGAAAACCTTATGGTTTATGAGCACTATTTGATTAGATACTTAGTTGACTAAGAAAACCTTATGGTTTAACAAGTTCTCTAGGTTTTGGCTTAGATTTAGTTTCACGTTTTTCACATGTTAGGAAACAGTTAGGATGTAGGGTATTTGAAGTAAATTTAGTTTCCCCTTTCCAAGTCCAGCCTGGTCTAGGGATATGTAGATAACAGGTTTATTTTCTAGAACCACTATTTATTATTTATTTTTGGGTGTTGTTTATTTTCTGGGTCAGTTATTTTTAGAGCCTATAAGAATTAGTATTGATATTTCCAGATTAACTCTAGAGTGTTGATAGTGTCATATTGGGTGATGTAGCTCATTCCTTTTACATTTTTTTTCATCTCTTTAGGATTTTTGACTATTTTCATAAGTATGGAGGCCCAGTAGGGACATAGATTATTTTTCATAAGTTTGCCACATTCCTCCCATTTTTCATTACATTTTTCAATTATTTATTTATTGAGGTTATTCATTGAGATTATTGAGATTCATTTTTTTTCAGATTAAATTACATTTTATTTTTGATAAAGCTTTATTTATCCTGTGCCATTTTCAAAGACTTTTCTGTTTGTTAAATTTTGATCATTATTTATTATTTGTTATCATTTACAACGGTTAATTCTCACTTTATTAAATCTATAAAACTTACAACTGTGTTTTCATTTAGCGTTGACCATAGTTCAGAAATCCCCTTACCTGGGTTGATCATTGATAACTGGAGATAGTTTACTCCTTTAAGCCGAGTTGGCTAGTAACTTTGGTAATTTATACACTGAAGAGTTCTACTTCCGGTTACATAAACCTTGTGTTTTGTCATTAACCACAGCAGATGGTAGTGCTATGAAAGTTTTAGGGAAAGTTGACTTAGAGTTTAGGATAGGAGATAATTTGTTTTGTCATGAGTTTATTGTTACCGAGTTAGGAGACTTGTGTGGAATCCTTGGAATGGATTTCTTGGAGAACAATGACTGCAAATGTTCAGGAAGTTCTACAGAAACTTGATCACTCATAGACTTATCAGACTCTACAATGTCAACTTGCTGTACAGAAGCCACTGTTGTGTGTTTATTGATCCTAACAGCCTTGTCTGAAATATTTACAACAGAAAATAAAATGTTGTCAGGATTCACTAAAGTTCTAGCAACTAACAGACCCTTTTGATTTAAAAACTTGAACGGTTCAAACAAATTATTTACAGAAGCGTCCAAATCACCTACAGCATACCCTGGTACAAAAACTTCACAATCAGGGGGAATAACTATGTTCTTTGCTACTTTGACTCTAGCACAAATAGGAGTTGTCTCCCTCTCTAACTGAATATGCTGACCACCTATCAACATGAGACACCTAGAAACCTGAATTGTCACATCATTGTTCTCCAAGAAATCCATCCCAAGGATTCCACACAAGTCTCCTAACTCGGTAACAATAAACTCATGACAAAACAAATTATCTCCTATCCTAAACTCTAAGTCAACTTTCCCTAAAACTTTCATAGCACTACCATCTGCTGTGGTTAATGACAAAACACAAGGTTTCAAAGGGGGTCTATTCTCAAAAGACATGAAAACATCTTTGCCTATCAAACAAGCCTGAGAACCAGTGTCGACTAAAAACTTATTTACATGTTCTCCTACAGTACAGCCTACACTTAAACATGACTTCTGAAGCAAACTAACTCTTAACTTCTGAGTAGCCCTACTATCAACAGAATCTTGGGTCACACTGTGGGCTTCGAATGTAACCCCGAGAAGTTTTCCTTATCCCTAACTGATGGTGTGTGAGAAGGGGGTGTCTTATCTTTCTCTACCCTATCACTATTGTTTTGTGTATGACAGTATCTGGCTGTGTGTCCTAACTGATGACATTTGTAACACTCTATGACTTTCCCTGTTTGTTTTTTACCACCCCTATAACTATTGGCCATTTTGTTAACACATTTCTCTAGAGTTTGAACTAAACTTGATAACTCATCAGGGGTCTTTACAGGTGTAGTTTCATTATCTGTCCTAACACTATTTACACTTGGCTTAGTGATGGAGAGTTGTGGCCCCTTAACTGCCTCAAATTCTGTTGCTAATGAAATGGCACTCTCTAAAGTCTTAGGAAAATGTAAAAGGAATGAGCTACATCACCCAATATGACACTATCAACACTCTAGAGTTAATCTGGAAATATCAATACTAATTCTTATAGGCTCTAAAAATAACTGACCCAGAAAATAAACAACACCCAAAAATAAATAATAAATAGTGGTTCTAGAAAATAAACCTGTTATCTACATATCCCTAGACCAGGCTGGACTTGGAAAGGGGAAACTAAATTTACTTCAAATACCCTACATCCTAACTGTTTCCTAACATGTGAAAAACGTGAAACTAAATCTAAGCCAAAACCTAGAGAACTTGTTAAACCATAAGGTTTTCTTAGTCAACTAAGTATCTAATCAAATAGTGCTCATAAACCATAAGGTTTTCTTAGCACAGAAAAGAGGAACTAACCATGAGGCTGTGTTCCCCAACCCAAGTGAAGAAAACTACACGAACACGGGTTTAAATACCCTGACAAGGCCCAAAATAAAAGCCAATGACTATCAAAGATCCTAAAGCTAAATTAACCAATCAGAACGAAATTCGGATTTGCTCAAATCCGCTGATATATAAGTTGTACCCATTAAATATTTATAGAACCCAAAAAAAATAAAACCCAGTCGTAATTTTCAGGTATCAAAAGTACTACGGAAAGACTGCCAACATGGATGACACTTCCTGTTTAAAAAGTAAAACATGTGGAATGTCAACTCATGTCCTAACTTATAAAAGACAAATAATAAAGGACTTTTACGTAAGTAACAACTGAAAACAAATGGTAAATAGAATTATCAGACTGAAATACCAGCAAATACTTGTAAGATAAGAATTACGAAACGATGGCTATGAAATAAAAATCTAAACCACTACATTCCTCCCCCCTTAAAAAAACAAAATTTACACAATAAATTTTCGTTTCAGAATAAATTAAAGAAATGTCAGAAGAAATGTGGTTTCTGGTCCCGAGCATTCCATTCTTGGAGGTTAAAGAGTGGCTTCACCGCACACTGCCGAGCCCTTGCCGCTACGTCACGTGCCTCCCGGTGAATAGTGGGAAGTGGCGTCCCAATTCTGCCGGGGTTTACAAATCTAGGGTTATCGATAATGGACGAATTCCAACATCCTTGTAAACTTGAGTGCTTGGCTCGCATGTGACGCCGAAGCATGTTCATCTTAAATGAGGAGAAGGAACATGATGAAGAGTAACAGTAGTACACTGGAACTCGAGCCTTATGATATTTGATGAAATGTGCCCTGTACGATCCAATCTTGTGGAAGGTATGATTCGTCAAAGGACAGTTCTGTATTTGGCACGTGTCTCCCTCGGACGGCCACTCCTTTTGAATCATATCCTCCCCACAGAGGGCCTCCATCTCCTCATCCGGGACATTTAAATCAAGAACTTCTGACATCTGAGAAAAATGAAAACATTGTAAAACAAGGATTAGAAAAATATTAAAGCAAATCAATCACCATCAATGCAAGTTTTGATGTCAATTTATTTCTATGAAAAATAACTTTTAAAAATTAAAATCTTAAATTCTAAGACTTTAAATAATTTCTGAATATATGGAAAGTTAATCCATATAGCTATCTACCAAATTCAGAATCCACTGAATTTAAACCAAAATGTTATCAAGTAGTGCACATACTTATAACATAACCTAAACAAGGGATAACTATGCATCACCTCCCATAGATAAACTAGTATAAGAAAAACTTAAGTGTTGATTTCAGCACAGTACAAGGGAGATAATTTAAAGATCATCTACGGTCAGTATTAAACTAGGAATACCAAGCTCTCAATGATTCATATCTATTATTACTATAACTGAATAAGCCGAAAGAACTGAAATATACTGTTTTGACTTCTAGATAACTATAAATCATTGCCAACTACTGTGTCTTATAAAATAAATAAAACAACTTTCATTGACCTTGTATCCACTAAAGTCAAAATCAGTGCTAACTTGAATGTTATTCTCAAAAGAAAATAAATGACTACCAAAAACTAACTCATTAATAAAGTAATTAAGATCTACTCTTAAAACTAGACTGAGATATTTCAAAAATTAAATATCATTTGTCATCACTACAAAAGGTCAACTCAAACCTTTTATATATCAAGTTATATATAGAATTCAAAAATAAAAATAACTATTTACATAGGCATTTAAAAAAAATAAAAATAAAATGCCTAGATGCATGCCTGGTCTCAAGGAGAGTAGATAACAGGGGGTTTGATTGTTCTACCCCACCTTGACTGTCTAAGGGGTTCAGGACTAGGTAAATTAAAAACAGGAGGAACAGTCTCCTCAACTTCCTCTTGATCATTAAAATCTACAGGAGTATGATCTACAGGGGGTTCTAATGACTCGTCAAGGGAAGTAACTACTGGTGTCCAGTTTCTAGGAGGTAAAATGCCTTCATAGGGTTTTAACTGATCTACATGTACCACAATGAGAGGGCTCTTAGGGTCTTTTTGAATTTGATAAGTTACATCTGTGATCTTCTTGATAACTTTATATGGCCCTGTCCATCCTAACCCTAACTTAACACCAGCTGAGGGTGGATACCACCTCCAGACAAAGTCATTTTCTGTAAACTCTCTAGGTTTTAATCCCCTATCATAGTACTTTTTCTGTTTTGATGCTGCCTGTCTAAGATTTTCTGACACAAAATTGTAAGAATCAGATAAAACAATTCTTAACCACTCTACATATTCTACAGGGCAAATGGGGATAGGTGAAGAAGGAGGATTCCCTAACATAAGATCAACTGGGCTCATAATTTCATGGCCAAACATGACTAAATTTGGTGAGCAACCTGAACTTTCTTGAATGGTTGACCTATATGCCATAAGAACAAAGGGTATATTGTCATCCCAATTATCCCTATTTTTATTTGCATAAGCTGACAACATTTGCAAAAGTGTCCTATTCATCCTCTCAACTAAACCATCTGACTGTGGCCTATATGGAGTAGTACGTGTCTTTTCAATGCCTAACTTTTCACATAAGACAGAAAATAATTCCGACTCGAACTCGCGACCTTGGTCTGAGTGAATCTGTTTAGGGACACCAAATCTACAGATGAATTCATTAACTATCTTATCTGCTACTGTCAAAGCTGTGTGATTAGGTACTGGATAAGCTTCAGCCCACTTAGAAAAATAATCACAGAGAACTATGATGTATTCATTACCATTACTTGTTCTGGGTAAAGGACCTAAAATATCAACTCCTAACCTATCTAAAGGAGCACCTATGACTGATTGATGAAGAGATGACCTCCCAAGACCTGGACCAGTTTTTGCTCGGGCACAAACATCACACTCTCTACACCAACGTTTAATGTCTGAAGACATACCAGGCCAATATACCCTACGCTTTATGGATTTAATGGTACGTTCCCTACCTAAGTGACCAGCAGTTTTATTCTCATGCAGCTCATGAAATATCTGAGATCTAATGTGTCTAGGAGCAATCAACAACAAAGACTCCTTATCATCTAATGACTTCCACCTGTAATACAACATGTTTTCTTTGACTTCTAGAGATTCCCATAATCCCCAATAAGTTTTCAAGTCAGGAGAAGCATCCAAAACAACATGCCTAGGGGGTTTAACAATGGAACTTTCTTTTAACCTAATAAATTGCCTAATTGCAGGTTCTTCTTGTTGCCAAGTTCTCAAC